ATTGATTTTCAGCCCCCAAGTGACTGTGATTAAAACTGATTGGAGGACTATTAACACATGGTTATTAGTAATATTCATAGCATATTGGCAATGGTTATTCATTCTTGCACTTGAAATAATATATTTGCTCTATTAGAACTACATCTCCAATAAAAGTGCATATAAATCAAAACTTACACTTATTGAATTCTGGATCATTTGAAAATGACTCAATTTTGGCAATGGATACACACCTGTCATTGATGTAATTGCATGCACTACTAAAACAGAAAATATTATATTGCTTAGATTTTTGTAGTGAAGTTGGTAATTAATAAGTTCCCCATGAAAAATTACATATTGAATTCTTTTTGTTGGTGTCCTGGTGATGTTGTAAGTAAAATAAGTGTATAGTTTATGTGTAAACAAAAACAAACTTGGCATCCCCATACTATACAGGCGTTTCATAGGTTTTTATTACAATTTCTCACATTAGTCTATTACAGCATTTCTGAGAATTATTCAGACAGAAGGTTTGACTTTGCAAAACACTTTGGTTTTTCCCTCCAATCTAGACTTGATGCTGTCCCATTACATTTTATATCGTTTTATTTTCATACTAGATAAGGGTAAAGCCCAGTTTATCAAAATAATACAAATTCATTAGCATACATGTTATTTTGATGTGTTTTGTATTATTCCTAAAATTAAATAGAATGTAGATAAATAAGAAATGATTTTGATTTGCAAATTATGATGTTCATGTATAAAATAGTGAACCCCACACTGCTCAACATCAGTCTAATGGGAGATGCTGAATTGTTGCGAATTACAAAAATGACTCCACCCATATTTTAGAAACAACACCCAAATTGTAACTTGAGTTATTATGGGTATGGTCATACTTGTATCTTGATGTCCGTAAATCAAACAATTCAGCATTTTCTCAAATGGTGACGTCAAGTCTAAAACAAAGCAAATGCTAAGTGTTTCTCAAAGCTGTAATCAATCTTGCCATATGTTTGTCCGAATGCTTCTAGAACCCTGTAGCATTCACATTGAAAAACAAACCAAGTAAAAATTGTATTGATAATAATTTTCCTGATATAATGAACACATTGCATGTCACCTGCTCCCAACAAACGCAACTTTTATGTGCTTCAGTATAGTAAACACTATACCAAACTATAATTAAATCTCCCCCATTTGTGTACTGGTATCCATGGTTTTATTATATTAATATTAATCTGAATAATATTCTATTTTAAATAGAAACATGGATGATGATTATGAGTGTGATGATTTAGATGTGCTGACTTCCCTACTAGATGAGGAACAAAATGGCAGTATGCCACCAGGATTCAGTTATGATGATGATGACCATACCAGTTCGACAAGTACACAGAGTTCACAATGTAAAAAGTCACAGAGAAGTAGTGATAATGACATGTCTAGTACACAGGATCCGCTAAGCAGTGATGATGATGCTAATAAGTCCAAGGAAGACCTCATGGGTAAACTTATCTACAACACTTGAATGACAATTCTATCACTTTTTCTGTATTCAAGGATTATCAATACGTTGATTATCTTCTTGTATTGTGTTATTACAAGTACTGTAAAATACTTTATTTTAGCTGAAATTAATTTTCGCTGAAAACACTTTTTGGGTGTTTTGTATGAAATTTGTTTTCACTGATTTCTGACAAGTTGAATGTAGAAAAGGTATACGCACTGAATCTTTTCTTTAGCGAAAATAGCGAAAATTAATTCCTAGTGAAAATAAAGTATTTTACAGTACTGTTTCTCAAGTCAATCTCTTTGTCAATCACTGCAGAATTAAACTGAATACCGCGTCTAATTATATTTTACTCTATTAGAAGTATTTCTCCAAAATTTGCATTTGTTTATTCAATCATCAAAATACTAATTATTTTGACCATTGAAATACCCCTGTATTTTACATAAGAGCTACTAATAAAATATGGTATACAAGCTAATACATGTATGTAGAAAATAATAAGATAAATTGTTCATGCTTTTATGAGAAATGCTTAAGCCAAAATCACAAAAAGTGTTTGAGGACCTTAACTGATCAGTTTGGCCTTTATTTCTTTTCTACAGAAGCAGTAAATTTAATTATCTGTTTTACTGTTTGCATTTTTATTCAATACTAACAGAGGAAATTAGACTCATGAAAGAAAAGTTACGTACACTTGAAAAACAAGCACAGCACACTCCAAGTAAAGCATCAGTAGCTGTGACACCACAAATACAGCGTAGAAACAGTGGAATAAATCCCATTTCTTCACAAGGTATGTACAAGCAAGCTAACCAGTAGGCATTGTTTATTCATTTATTTCATAACATTATCATAAGAGAGAGTCACTGGTCACTGGTAGCATAGTGGTTGTCGCATCAGACTCATGATTGGTAG